ATCTCTATTTTTATGAAATATTATATATATATAAATATAAAATCTAATGATCATAGATACTACACTTGCCTTCCAATTGAAACACATCCATCCAAAATTATGATCAAATTGATGACATTGATGGGTGCAATTATTAGAGGAGTGTTACATCCGATCAAAAGGTGGGTAGTTGAGATGGATACATAATGAGAGGAGTGTTACATCCAATCAAAAGGTGGGTAGTTGAGATGGATACATCATGGGTCCAATTATGTCGATTAAATTTGACATGAGAGATGGTATCATATTAGAATTGTCAATTACAGGTAATTTTATTTTGTACGCATGATTAGAAGTTAGTATTACGACATATATATATGCATTGCAATTATTGTTGATCATACAATATATCCCTATTTTTAACCTCCATTAGAAACACTCATATTAAAAGAATAAAATACATTTAATATTCATAATAATATGCAAGATGTAAAAGCTTTTAATGTCAATTTTATTCTCAGCTAAAATAGTCCATGGTATATGCATTGAAATTATTGTCGATCATGGAGCTAATTAAGTTATTTTGTTGGAGCAACCATTTCCGTATTCCTCTAAATTGTTTGGAGTCGAAGCAAAAGAAAATTAATGATGCGGAAATGATATAAAGTTATGGCCTCGTTTTAGGACGATTTTAACGAATTGACTTTAATTGCTACAGTATATCGATTTGTCATATGAATTCTACATATGTTGCTGGGTCAACACGTTGTGTGTCCCTCATGGCAGAAAGAAGAAGAAGAAGATGATGACGATAAGGAGCAGACGTCGGTAACGAAGACCTTATCATGATTTGTTTTCCTTCACATGGGAAACGAGGTGAGTTTAATTTCTATGATCACGTGAAAGATTGATATCTCCTCGTTTTCTGCGTGCTGATAACTCTATTTTGCTGGTTTCAGATGAGGTTGAAGCCTCCCAAGATGGTGTGAAGCATGTGCTTGATCTAAATAATGTCTTCTGCCACACCTCCGAGCCTCCTCCTATATAAAGGCACCAACATGAGAGGGAACTCAGAGATCCAGCAAAGCCAATCACGTCCTTACTTCACTTTGAGTACTTTGTCTGCAACTCCCTTCGCCACGCCTCTTCTTCTTCTTGCTTGAGGTTAATGGCTCAGACCCAACCAAATGGCAGCCAGCACTCCCATCACCATCACCACCATCATCACCACCACCTGCAGCCCTGCGAGGGGAAGCTGATCACAGTCCTCAGCATAGATGGAGGAGGTGTTAGAGGCCTCATTCCAGGAACCGTCCTCGCCTTTCTTGAGTTAAAGCTGCAGGTAATCTCGAGCGCACGGTAACCAAAATCAAATCCGATTCTTTTCTTGGATGATGAGCTGATCTGTGAGAGTGCAGGAACTGGATGGACCAGACGCGAGGATCGCAGATTACTTCGACGTGATCACAGGGACGAGCACAGGAGGATTGCTCAGCGCCATGATCACTTCTCCTGATGAGAACAAACGCCCCCTCTTCTCAGCAAACCAAGTCATCGACTTCTATCTTGAGAACAGCCCAAAGATCTTTCCTCAAGGGTGAGTGCGCTCTCTCCATCGATCCATGTAGTCGAGTACTTGAATCTGGAATCCGCTTGCAGGAGTGGAATGTTCAGCTCGTTGACGAAGCTGGTAAGCGCGATCCGGGGGCCGAAGTATGATGGCAAGTTTCTCCACTCCAAAGTCAAGCAGTTGCTCACCGAAACAAAGCTAAGTGAGACCTTAACCAACGTAATAATCCCAACGTTCGACATCAAGCTTCTTCAGCCCGTCATCTTCTCATCCTTTGAGGTGCTTCTCTCTCTCTCTCTCTCTCTCTCTCTCTGTGGAATCAAATAAGGAACTGCAAGCATAACTTGGTTCTCTTCTCGTACTAATCTTCATGCCCTGTTGTCTTTTAGGCAAGACACTCACCTCTGAAGAACGCTCATCTCGCCGACATCTGCATAAGTACGTCGGCGGCACCAACGTACCTGCCGGCGCACTACTTTGAGACGACGGACTCCGACGGAAAATCTCACAGCTACAACCTCATCGACGGCGGCATCGCCGCGAACAATCCGGTAAACAAGCAAGCCATCGTCATCGTCATCATCATCATACTTGCGTCGTGGCCGTTCTCATGTCGAACGCTATATCGGCATATTTCTGTGTGGTTCAGACATTGGTGGCCATGAGCCAGATCAAGAAGGAGATCGCATTGACGAACAAGAACTTCGCTAATTTCAAGTCGATTGACTACCACAAGTTCATAATCATCTCGATCGGGACCGGCTCAGCTAAGGTGGAGCAGAAGTTTAGCGCACACTTGGCATCCAAATGGGGAGTTCTGCAATGGTTATATCACGGCGGTTCCAACCCTTTGATCGACAGCTTCTTCCAAGGAAGCGCCGATGTGGTGGACATCCACATGTCTTCTCTGTTCCAGTCACTGAACTGCGAGAAGAACTATCTCAGGATACAGGTAACTTTTTGGCTTCTCTAACCTCGCTCCCATGGGCATCACGAACCATACATGCTTCGTGCTTGCAGGATGACACACTGATGGGTGAGAGATCATCGGTGGATGTTTCGACCAAGGAGAACCTGCTTGAGCTGGTACAGATTGGGAAGAATCTGCTGAACAAGAAGGTATCCAGGGTAAACCTGGAGACGGGCATCTTCCAGGAGATCGATGAAGAGGGGACGAACGCAGACGCGCTCACCCAGCTTGCCAAAAGACTCTCTCGAGAACGCCAACTCAGGAAAGCCACCGTGGCTGCCAAATGAGATCCAAGTCTCCACGGCGTCTGTTCCTTCCTGTGTTTTAGAAGCCTTGAATTGTTTGTGCTAAGGAAGAATGTAGTCGTCGTAGCTTCTAATGGTTCGTTGGTAGAAAGTGAGTAGTCCTCTATGTGTGGGTTGATGTGTACTTTTAATAAGAGGATTTATTCGTTCTTAATTGTTCCTTTAATTAGACAAATATTTTTGTGATTGTTATTTTTTATGGTAATTTATCGAAAAAAAAAACCCTAGTAATGAGTTTTTTTTTTTAAGTTTTAAGCCAAATATCTTTAATAAAATTATAAAAAAAATGATGATAATTTTTTTGATTAAATTTGATTTATTTTTTTAACTAAATCAAATTTTTTTTTAGATGAACCGAATTAGATTGGTTCAACTAAGTCCTAACTATTTAATTTAATTTAATTGAACCTAAGATTATCTATTGATTTTTTTAAATTACCATATCCCCTTCACCTCCACTCCTTCTCATCCTTCCCCACCACCACCACCTCCTCCCACTCTACCTTCATAGCTCCTTCTTCCCCTCCTCCCCCAACTTGATCTTCGTTACCGCCTCCCCCTCCCCAATCTCATCCTCTTCCCACTCTATCTCTAATATCAATCTCCTCCTCCTCCCACTTTGTCATCTCCTCTTCCTTTCTCGTTAGCTTATTCTTTCTCCTTCTCATCCTCCTCCCATTCCACCTCCGCCTCCTCATCCTCCCACTCTACCTCCATGGCCACCTCCTACTCCCACTCCTCGCTCTCTCTCCCTCGTCCGCTTCCCTCCTCCCTCCTCTTTTTCCTTCTACTCCTTCGATTGCTAGCTCCCTCTCCTTCTCCTTTGCCTCCTCATCACAGTTTATATTTTTTTACACAAAAGGGAAATGAAAAATATATGATTTTATTCAAGTTCCTACTTACTAACTATTAACTATCAAAGACTTTACCTCTAAGATAACTGATATTATTAAAAACTTTATAGAGCGTGATTATTAACCCTTGACATATTATCACAAATGCATCTTATATGTTCTCAACCTAAGTGAGTCTAATAAAATATTTATCGGATAAGATTTTAAATCCATTGAAAGGTAAATTTAACTGAGTTCTATCAGACCAATGACTCAATAATTCAAGGCTTTAATTTGCATAACTACACTCCATTTACCAAACTATGTTCATTTTTCGTCGGTGTTGGGAACGGATTAAGACACAACATTCCGGAGCTCCTTTTCTTGTGAAGAGAATCTTAAAATAGTAACTCAAACCAATGTGGATGTGACTTGTCAGAGTTGAAATCTATCATTCACCCTTTTGTTTTGTAGCTTCCACATGGGCGGCTAAAGTTGGGTGGTCCTGACACTAATCCTTGGACAAAACATGATGCAGATTCCTTTAGAAAAGAACTACAATATAATAAAATGTAGGCAATGTGATCATTGGCCCCAACTTGGAACAAAAGGAATCTACCTGATGTCACGAAGTTTGTAGTGATACAAATCCTGTTCACAAGGATGTTTGCTGCAAGCCTGTAAGTTCTACATAACAAAAATAACAATGCATGCTACATTGCTAGGCTAACTTTGTCAATTTCCATATTAATCTATTGATATTTGAAATCAGAAACAAACATAGCTTCAGACTTAAGAATTGAGTTATCAATTCAAGACGGCAGAAAAGATGAAACGCTTAAACAGATTAGCAAAATCAACAGCGGAGATTTCAACAAACAGATGATTACCTCAAAGCTGCTGCAAGACTGCAACTCTAGGACTGTGAATGAGTTTCTAATTCAGCCTAAAACACAAGACAAAGTCTCCACAGTTCATTTTTTAACATACAAAAAGATATATGTTGGAAGATTATGATTTATAAACTCAAGCGAGACACCATAAGTTTATCATACACAATCTTACCTAGTCAGCTCTACACTAAAAATGTAATGTCATCAATATGGTTTATACACAATTTTTCTCAACGTTCTTCCCTCAAAAAGAATGAAGAGTATAAAAGACAATTTTGGTAGCAAAAGATCAGAATTATTTTGTTGAGTATTGTGTTGCGTGATTCACATGGTATTGACAAAAAGACGAAAAAGATACCAAATTATGAACCATTAAATAAAACTTTATCTCATCCGGTGGGGTCAGGACTTCGTTTGCAACCAACAAACCAACATACATTCAATGAGCTATTTAATCTTAAACCACAACTTCACCATATTAAACTCAAGTTGGCTACTGCAAAACTACATAGTGTCTCATTGAACTATTTTGAATGAATTAAGCAGAATCAGATACAAATTAAGAAAATGAAAATCAGATTGGAGAAAGCAAGCCCGTGAGAAGAATTTGGCATCAAAGTTACGTTAGAGCATAAACAACCACTGATGCTTGTAGATCCCGGTCCACTTTAAAATGGGCATGGAAGAATCTTTTAATCTGCAAGCATCACACAAGTTAGGAAAGGTGTGCCAAATGGAAAAACAAGCTAATCTTGCATTAGAATTATGTGTATATCTACTGTCACTGTGAGCGAGACACATAAGGTACAATTATGAAGTTCCTTTTTCTTTAGTTTCTACAAGTCCATAATATTTTGTATGCTACTATACAATATCCATCTCATAGCTTATATGTTCAATGAATTATTTGCAGAAAGGTAGTATGCCATGATACTACCAGTTCAGATGACACTTTTAACTCCTAATGTTGATGAATTGAATCTAATGGTGACTTTAGTGATCAGAATGATTGGTTGACATAAGCAGAACTTACTGTGAACATTTGTTTATACATGTGCCATATAATATATAAGCTGGTTAAGTAAAGAAAGACATAGGAAAAAACTCAAGTCAATCATGCACTTGGTACGAGTAAGAAAGCATTTACAAAAAAAAAATGGCATTTGTAACAAAGAAAACATGTTTCATGAAACAAAAAGATCTCTTTTTTCATATTTGAACCACAATAAAACAATTTCATCATGAAATGATCTAATGCATCAAATCAAGGTCAAAACATCAAAAGTAGCATGATATGATGATAATAAAATGTATCATTATGAAAAGAAGGGATTTAAATATGTCACATTTTAATGGATCATCAATGGTGTAATTCCAAACTGACAGAAGTAATATACACTTTCTGAGAGAAAAAAAGGATGATATTAAATTTTTTGAGAGAAGATAGCTTGAATATTTGAAATTCACCATAAAGTACAGTTAAAAAAATTCATTTGGCTACGCATGGAAGATGGTGTTTCCATCAAATAACTCAAATTTTGAAAAAAAATTGCAGTGAAAATCTTAAACTAGTATTTTGCTCTCAATTAAAGTTTAAGCAGCACATTAGTGTACAAATGTCGAGGATACATGCAAGTTGACTTCATGAAGAAAACTATGAGAACCATAGACGCAATGATGTGAGAACTTAAAGCACAGTAGGCCATGCATTTCTACTAACACCTTAAAATTTAATCTCTAAGAGTGTCATATTAACTGGATACAATTTGATCTAGGAAATAGGTGATTCATAAGAATTAGCAATAACATGTGATAATTGTTTGACATCAGTTCCTGAACACGCAGGTTCCGGTGCTAACAGGATCAAAGTCTTAGAACCCAAAAAAAAGAATATCCACTAATTTCAGCAAATATTAGGTATTTTAATTGTTTATTCTGTTCCAGCACATAATCTCTTCTGATTGATAGACAAACATTGGCAGCAATAGTTTATTTATTTATTATAATTGAACAGGATCCAAAAAGTAAGCCATTATTCAGTTATTATTTTTCTGAAATTTTGTAGCTTTACCTCATCAAAGGAATACGAGATAAGAAGTTCACGGAGTTGTTTTTCTTCAGAACTGAATAATACTATGTGACTGGGTAATGATGAATTCGTGAACATGGACATGACAAAGCCAAGTGGATCTATCATAAAACGATCTGACTCATCCAATATCCCTTTAGTGTCACTGGATAATCAAAATTCAAATATATTGTCAGAGTATGAAAAAGTGACATGGAAGGAAAATATGCCAAGGAAAAAAAATACTAGACAAAATCTTGAAAAGTCACCTTGGCGTGCAGTCCAAAAACCGCATTGGCAGGTCATGGTGTAGAGTGGAGTAATAAGGTGTGGAGTGGCAGGGCATTAGAAATAAAATACTCCTCACTTTTCCTTTATGGGCTTCTTTTGATAGATAAATCATCACATCTTCACTTCCTCTCTGGCTGGGCAAGACGAATTTATAAGAATAATGTAATATAAGTTTAAAACCCAATCCTAACTGATTCAGAAACCACATTCCTAAAAGCATCCTTAAGAAATCAAAATATTTCTTTTTCATTAGCCCTTATTGCAAGATAGAACATAGATAACAACAGGAGTTATTTTAAAAGAATTTTAAAAGCTTGAATACCTGATGAATTGAACTCATATATAATGCCATTGGAACATTAGTTGCAACAAGGAACAACACAGCCAGTTGCACTCTCGATGGACACTTATTGCCAGGTCGGGATTTTCTTCTTTTCATATCCAGAAGATCCGGTTTTGACATCACTGATAATGAATAGCCAGAGAATATCAAAGCTATTGGCAGCACTGGAAGCACAAACCTGTGACACCAAAAATTATCTAACAGACAGATCAGAAAAGCAACTTCTGGATAAAAATACATCTAATTGCTACATAACAAATTATAAGAATAATAAAAGTACCTGAACTCTTTGTGGCCGAGCACACTATAAATCCCTAAGACCCAAGCAATTAGACCTGAAATACTCCACTCTTTTGATTTAAGTATGCCTATTACAGCATATGGTAGAAAGGTTAAAAGCATGGACGGAAATCCTTGGGTGAAATACCAATGCCATGGATGGGTGCCATAGTAGTCCCCTCCAGAAGAAAAAAAATTGAACCTAAGAAAATTAAGAGGCACAATGGTGAAGGATCCATACATCCACCAATCCAACAAGCATGACATGGCAAGCACTAGAATCCTGTAAAACATTGTGATATTAATATCGGAGGAAGGTGACATTAATTTATAAAGAGCTATCCATAATATTGGGATGTGCATATTTGACAAGCCACATTACAGAAAAGAAAGAACTACCAATGACCTTTCAAAAATAGGACATAGTGGACATATCCCTCAAAATCATGACTATATATATATATATATACATACATATATATATATATATATATATATACATACATATATATATATATATATATATATACATACATACATATATATATATAAATACATATATATATATAAATACATATATACATACATACATACATACATATATAAATACATATATACATACATACATATACGTACATATACATACATACACATACATATATATACACATATATATATATATACACACACACACATATATATATGTATATATATACATATATATATGTATATGTGCATGTGTGTGTGTGTGTGTATCCCTCTGAAATGTGAAATTTAACAAATGTGTCCCTATTGTTTGCCTACAACCATGAAATAGAGCCATACTAACAAGCTCAGTTAAGCAAAATGAGGGAAAATCACAATAAAAAAATAAAATTTTTCCTTGATTTAATTTCTTTTGAAGATTATTTCTCAAAAGGTAACAAAATTCTCCATCAATTGGTAGAACCCCAATCATAGTAAACCAATGTTCCAGGGCATAAGTGTAGACTAAAAGATGTGATAACTGACTCATTAATTTGGTGAGTCACTGGCCCAAGATACTTAAAGCCAAAGTAACAATAATAGGTCCATTTATCCCTATGAACCAACTTGATTCTTTTATCATTTTATTGTGGAACTAAACGATAAGTGGATTGAGATTCTCATCAAAACTCAAACATAGTCCACCATTATATTGCACATGAGTTGCAGTATAATCGTGGTTCCATGCTATGATATGTTAACTAGTCTCATTCATGGGTAGTCCTTTCTTACTTGGTTTTCTCATCGTGCTCAGCATTGGATTTGCACTAATATCAATTGTTATGATATAGCTTCATAGAATAACTGACTTACTAACTTGATAAACTTGAAGCACTATCCCAAAATGCTTAAGCTCTAGTAGACCTATCTAGTCATATAAACCAACTCAATTGTCCTCTGATATGAGACTAAATTTAGGATGTCACTGATAAGTCTTTTAAGAGAATGTTACACCAACTATAGCTCTCTAGGGCATCTTTTAAAAATTTCAGGTTTCAAGGGGAATTGAAAAGAACAGCAAGATTTACATATGAAGGATCCTACTTTATAAGAGCTATGTATGTAAATTTCCCCAAGGAAAAAAAGTAAGAGTTATGATTAGCTTGTCATACCTCAGGTAAGGAAGCTACAATACTATGATCATACATCATCTAATATCCACAAGTTACAACCTTTCCAACAATATGGTTTAACCACAAACAAGATTTTTCAACTTGACAGTACACAAGAAAGTTTATTGGTTTGTTACATTCTTTTTTGGTCGAATTCATGCACATATTGAAGTATTTGCCCAAAACAGAGCTCTCTACCTCATCAAAAAGTATAACTTTACGCTTATTGTATTGGCCATAAAAGATTGAGTACAGTATCCTATTATGTTATTTATTTTAAATTGAAAAATAGAAAAGAAGCTAAAGAGGTATAAGGAAAAAAATGCAAAAACCTTCAAGGTGAATAATAAGCAGAGTTAAAGCATGCTTATCAAAGAATTTTCCCTTTCAGCACTTGTCAGTCTGCCTTTCAGGTTCTCTTGGTAAAAACACCATATAAGCAATCATAATAAAAAGCAGGTTTTTAAGATTCTGATGACAATTCTAGTTAGTTGCTATAAAGGTTACATTGTCGATTCTTTACCTTTCAGACTTATCTTTGCACAACACTATAAAGAACTTGTCCATGATTCAGAAATTGCTTTTATTAACAGAAAAATTATTACCTACCCTATGGGAACTACCTCAAAAAAGAGGAAGTGCAATCTGGACTGCGTCCTAATCAGATACAGCACACCGACGTACAACCATGTGATAGCACTAGTAGGCCGAACTGCACATGCCAGTGCTGCTATGAACAAACCCAGCTTTCTTGACGCCACAGAAAGTTGCTTTGAGGAACCACTTGAAGCGAGCCAATAGAATAATCCCACTACAGTTAACACTGTCTCCAAGCTATTTGACAATGTCCGTGTAATACAGAAGAACATAAACCAATTCATCAATTGACAAAAGAGCTATTCAGCGGAGTCAAGGAAATCATTATCACAAGTAGCAGCAGGTTATTTTGTAGTATCATTATGATTCCCATGAAGATGAGTTTCAAGTCATAAAAAATGAGAAGGATACTGCCCATCTTGCTACATGCTCATCAAAGATCAGTTTTGAGAGCTTGTACATGTACACATCTCCAATGGATGCAAACAAGGACTGCAGCAGCCGTGGAGCCTTCGCCTGTCAACAGATTAGAAAAAATGAAACAGAGATTATAGATTTCTTATAGCTCTAAAAGAGAACAAAAATACTGCAATCCCAAGCAAAGTTAAGCAGACGTAAATGAATTATCATAGAAAATCTGCATTTTCCCTTTCATCATTCAAGTAGACATATATGCATTATCATAGAAAATACTGCAACCCCAAACAATTCTTCCAACCACCAACACAATCAAACATGCTTTGAAGGGAGCAACCATAGATAGAATGATCTCGGGGAAGAGGGAGACGACCAGAAGAATTCAGTTAAAAGTGTACGAGTAGTTGATTACCATGAACCAGGGGGTGTCCAAGCGAAGGAAACCCAAGACTTTATAGAGGAGAGCGAAGACCAAAGGATGGAGGTAGCTGCGAATTCCTTTCTTCCACTCCCAGGTGAGATGACCATACCTAATCACCATCACCGAACCAACCTAGGCGAATTAAGGGCAGTGGAAAGAAGATTGAAATCCCTATCAAGAAAGAGATCCAGGGTTTCTGACCCAAAGACAACGCGGTGGGCAACCTCGAGCGACTGCCAGTGCTCGTCCGGGTTGAAGTAGGTCTGGATCAGCAGCGCATTGGCGGCTCGGAAGGCAAGCGCAGCCGCCCAGATCCTCTTCTCCGACCACCACGGCGTACCCTTGGCAGCAACAGATTTACCCGAAGAAGAAGAGATCTTGTCCTCCTCCTCCTTTTCCTCCGGCCGTTGCCGGCGTCTTGGTGTTGGTCGCCCATGGTCGCTCATTTCTTGGAGGAAAGCACCGATCGTCGAGTAGGCGTAGGCAAAAAATGTCCAAGGGTTTATAGTGGTACAATATTATAGGATTTGTTGCGTCAAAAAATGATATGACAAAAATGTCCCCTACTCTTCTCCATTGCCGCCGTTCTTCTGCTTCCATCTCCACCCCCGGAACTCTCTTCACCCTCTTCTCCTCCGATCGGAATCCTCGTCACGGAGCTTCCGATCCCTCTACGGCGTCTTCCTCACCATCTTCAAGAACCTCCGTCGCCGCCGCTGCCGCCTCCGCACTCCCTCTTCTCCGCCGTCACCCGCCGCCTCCACCACCGGTACGTCACCCTCCCGGTCGCCCCCGACGGCCTCCTCTCCATCTTCCGGCCTCGGCGGGTGAGGAAAAATCTTGCGATTAGCTACCTGATTTATTTACCTCCATTCTAGCTAAAGATAAATGAAATTGATGACCAAATAAGCTGAAATCGATGTTTTGATTTCTTTGTGTGCGAGCAGCAATGATTGATGCAGAGTTATAAGAGATTCTTGAGTTCTTCTTGATCCAAGTAATGCAATTTAGCTAAGTTTTTAAGTTGAAACATGTCTTGATATCTTGGTTAAATAAGTCATTAGTGAGAAAGTGTGTAGCGAGATCTTTTGAACAGATAGATGTATTGTGTACTTCGAAGGTGTCCAAATCACAGCTACAGAGATTCTTGAGTTGTTCTTGATCCGATAAATGAAAACTTTATCCGGAATGGTGTCTAGATGCTTGTATTAATATCTAAACTGTGGGGAAAAGTTTTATGATATCTGTTGGAATTCATCTTTGCTGAAAGTCTCAGAAACAAGTAGATGAAACCAGAATTCATGTCTTTCTCTCATGGAGGTGGGAGACAAATTGCTCTATGGAATCATTATGAGTTTATTCCACTGAGACTGATAATAAGAGAACTAAATGGAATGACAAAAGTGATAAGTAGATGAGATTTTGAGGAAATCTCAATCTGTTGAGGAAAATTTTCCCTTTTAACATGTATAAAAGGAAGGGGATATATTAATAACAATCAACTACTTCTATAATTTATTTATCTATTTATTTTCTAACATGGTACCAGAGCAGTTCCTCCTTAGCGACAGCAGTATCGTCGTGTGTTAGCCAAGCCACCACAGTAACACGCTGCGAAAATCTCATCTACTTATCAAAAAGAACCATGTATTGTTCTCTGAATTCTTCAATGCAAATATCATCCATGAGTATGCAAGCATGATGACTTACTAAGACTTGATCCAGTGAAGGTTCATGGATGCATCTGACATTGACCTTGGAAGCCTAGAGGTGGTGTGCAGGCTCAGCCACTCGGAGATGCTTCATGTATCCATCTGGCCTCATTGCAGTCCAATTGATCATCCTTTGCCACAGTATTGAAGGCACCCGCAGGACCACCCACTTTGAAGAGGGGACCTGACTACCCATTGTGTGTGATCATTATTTCACAGGTATCTCCAACGCTTGCGACTGATGCCTTTGAAATGTTATTCTCCACTATAATTTTGACTTTTTTACTTTCATCAATCTAATTCAGAATGTGCATCTCCTACATGCAAATGAAAGGGTATGAAACATGGAAAGCTGAGAAAAGCAGAAAGAGTAGTAGTGCAGAACATGAGGTCATCAGTGCAGAGCCTGAAAAATCTATGCAACTTCATATTCTTTCGTGTCGCAACGGAACAATCTTAACGCAAAGACCTGAAAAATCTATGCAACTTCATATTCTTTCGTGTCGCAACGGAACAATCTTAACGCAAAGACATGAAAAATCTATGCAACTTCATATTCTTTCGTGTCGCAACGGAGCAATCTTAACGCAAAGACCTGAAAAATCTATGCAACTTCATATTCTTTCGTGTCGCAACGGAGCAATCTTAACGCAAAGACCTGAAAAATCTATGCAACTTCATATTCTTTCGTATCGCAACGGAGCAATCTTAACGCAAAGACCTGAAAAATCTATGCAACTTCATATTCTTTTCGTGTCGCAACGGAGCAATCTTAACGAAAGACCGGCTGAAGTTCAGTTTCTCAGGCTTTAGAATGATATTCATTCCATGAAAGAGATATGGTTGTCATGGTTTCCCTTCTACACTGGAAAATGTGAGATTTATCATCTCTATGATGCTGGAATACTCCCTTCCATGACAGAATTGTGTGCTGCATGTTTCCCATGTATTTGTCCTCCTTGAAATGAACTCCATCATTGCAATCATTTGCCATGGTCCCCGTGAGTGCATCATGGTACATGCTCTACAAGGCAATTCTGAGGATCTCAATCCCTGTTCTTGTCACCAGCCCAACATGTTGCTGACATTTCTTTTTAGGTACAATAAGCAAACAATGGTCTTTAATGGCCTGAAAGCATCAACAACTGGCCAACCATGCCACCGAATAAGATGGCTCAACGCATTGTTTGCTCAGGGACAGCATCCTTCTCCGAATTGCAACCTCGATAGATCTATGCTGCGATCCAGATTGCCTAAGTCTTGGAACTAGCAAACCATAATTCTCCTAATTTAACCTCAACACTCACTCTGTAATATTATGCTGAATACAATCATTACCACAAGACGAAGAAGATCAGAGTCACATTCAACAAATGAGCCACAACACAAAACATGTGCACTCGAAAAAGACACGACTCGTCACTGACAACCATATGCTCGACCCTCTTCTCCCCTTCACACACCTATTCAATGGCCACAGCCCAGCAATGATTGATGCAGAGATTCCTAGAATCCTTCCGGCAGTGGCTGCTACGTATACAACTCAGTGAATCGAAGTCAAGCTCTCAGGTCCATCTCCTGCGCCCATGCGCCCTTCTCTTGGACGTGAATGTGCCAGTAGGTCTGTGCCACTGCATCTGGATCCAGGGATGCTGTCTCTTGCCCTCCTTTTGATGATCCATGGATTCTGCAAGGAGTTAGCACAGATGAGTCATGGCTCAAGTAGCTTCTCCTGTGCAGGAACCACTGACCTTGGTGCACCGACCACCCCATCGATGATTACATGCGCGATGTGGATGCCAGATGATTGGAACTCTCTTGCGAGGCACTGAGCCAATCCCCTCAGAGCGAACTTCCCACAACCTGCAGCATCATTATCGGCATCACAGAGGAGTACATACAAAGGATAGAGATGTAGTGGACAAACAGTCTTTACTTAGTTCACAGTAGCCTGCAAAGCCACGAATGGACGCCGAAGAACCAGTGAAGATTATGGTGCCTCGACCCCTCTCCAGCATCCCGGGAATCACCTGCAACACAGATCAAACTTTGCCGTGCATGATGGAGGTAGAAGCATGGATGAGCTGTTGGTGCACGCTCACCTGCTGGGCGCAGTGGAAAGCCCCGACGGCGGACTCCGCGAGGGAGCGCACGAAGGACTCGACGGCGACGTCGGTGAATCTCGTGGGCTGGCACGTCGCGTGGGGCGCCTCGCATGCCGTGTAGGCGAGCACCTCGACGGAGCCGAGCGAGAGCACGCCCTCGAAGGCCTCGCGCACCGACTTGGGGTCCGCGCAGTCGATGCGGATGGCGAACACCTGGGCCTTGGCTTCCCGGGCGATCTCGTCGGCCAACCAAGATAGTTTACCTGCAGAGAGAGATGAAGATGAGGGAGAAGCACAAGGTCGTGTGGAAGAGAGGAGGAAGGCTCGCTTGCCGAGATCCCGGGCGAGAATGGCGACGGAGTAGCCCTCATGAGCAAACTTCCTGGCGACGGAGCGGCCGAGCCTGGGGCCGACGCCGACGATGGCGGCGATGCCTCTTGGGGAAGCTGAGCTTGACATCGGCCGCATATTAGTTGGCTGACATGAGGAGGAAGCTTCACGCTTATGCTTGCGCAGGAGAGATGGGGAGAGGTGACGGATCAGCTGTCTGTGGAGACATGAATATATAGGCAAATTGCATCTATCTATATATACACATAATTATGATTGATTAACCATTTGATTATCGATTGGAACTTTAAATGAATTAATACCTTTCAAAACATTATATTATAAGAACAATATAAATAACTGTGTTTATTTTTAACTCAAATTAACCAATATTAATCAATACGAAGATATTGAAACCCATCTGTTTATATGCATTGTTCAGAGAAGAGACACGTATGACTCACGTGTGCCGCTCTTGGTGTCGTGGTGGCCCATCGAGTCGGTGTCGACTTTACCTGAGTGTTGGTTGGTCGGAAAGGAAGAGCAATCAGGAATAAAGGATGTGACGCAGCCCAGATGCGATCTAATCGACTAGATTTCGGTCGAATCGAGTCACTCAACCTTATCCCGATCCCACAACCGCGATGAACTTTTGCTATAGTTGATTTAGGGAGAGCTGCATGAGAGTGTGCTCATTGTTCAGCCCCATGCATTTTGGTTTGAGAACAAGTGGTTCAGCTTCCGCAGGCATACGCGGTCTGCTGTGCAAGCATCTCTTCTCTCTTGCATGGGACCAGACTTTGTTTGCATGCATGCAAAAAAATGATGAGAACCCTAATCAGAATTGCCACCAGAATCTAGATTTGACACTTCAGTGTAGAATGATCAGAAAGAAAAATATTGAATCAAGTGGATGGGATACAGCTTAATCTTTAATGACATCTACACACAACTGATTGATTAAATATCATTTAATATAAAAGACTAAAAATCTCAGTTTTGGATACAAAAGCTCATCTTATCTCTCAAGATTATGAAACATGTAAATTGTGGGAAAGAAAAATGAGAGAGAAACACATAGGAAAAGTGGAAGAGCAGAGGAAGAGATGTTCTTTGCAAGGCAATAGAAGCTAACAGCATTCAAGGACTGTGATCTATACTTAGACGAATCTTCAGTGAACAAGAGCCACAAGGAATGAGAACTGAAGCTGGCTTTGAATCAACAGATAAATGCACACTCTCCATATCCAATAAAATGCCCATCTCTCTGAGCTCCAATGAGGTGATTGAGAAATAGTCACCGCATCTACATTCGTAGAAGAGCTCCTGCAGATCACCGACGGTCTTAACAGACATATCCCCCAATTCAACTTCATTGGCCGGAATCTCCAGTTCCAGCCTCGAAGCTTGCAACTCCTTGTTATAGTTTGCCCTAGACTTGGAATCCGAAAGGACTTCCCATGCCTTCTGCACCTCTAGGAAATCTAGCTCATGATGATCCCTAGATGCATCATATTTCTTGTGCAGCTTATCAGGATGAGAATTTAGAAGGGCGGATTTGTAACTTACTTTGATCTCATCATAACTCGCATCTTCTTTGACTGACAAGACCTCATAATATGTCTTTTGGAAGAAGATTTTGCCGGTAAGAGACATGGCTAAAGCTTATTCTACAAACCTAACAGTGCATACAGAAAAAGGATTTATCACAATGAATGACATGAAAACCTAAATACATGATATAAATCAGGATAATAAATATGAATATAAATCAGCATAATCAATGTGATAGTAAAATAAATTATTTAACAAACTCCCATAGTAAACATCTAGTAAAAAAGTTATAAGTTGGTTTCATGGGGGTTAGCAGTGTTCTTCATCATGTTACTATGGGAGTTTGTTAAATAAACAAACTCCCATTTATATCATGTATTTAGGTTGTCAGGATTAAACAGAGGTCTTTTGAAAATTCTTGGTTGTCAGGATTAAACAGAGGTCTCATCCAAAATAAAAGAAAACAGATGGTAGAAGGGAAGGAAACAAACAAATATGGAGAAAGAAAAAAATGACATCACCAAAATGGAATGTGGTATGCTTACAATCCAAATGGAAGTAGATTTCAACAATCCATAAACAAATATTATGAGTCAGTTTGTCAACTCCAACTGCTCATAAGTAGCTCATAATCATCTTGAAAATCTTAAAAATGCATAATATAACCTATGTTCCAGCCATGTCAATCTTGCATACAATATATACATGTTTCATGTCTTCCAACAGAAACTAACCCCAAGTTTGAGCAATGACAATCTTGCTTATTTACATCAAAGTTTCATGCGTCTGAATTGAGGCAAACAAGTGTGATTAGTTTTCAGTCAAAACATTGGACATCTCAAAGAGATCAACAAGCCTAAAGACGAGTTTAAAACCAATCATCAAGCTCAAGTTCAAAAAAATCCTAGCTAGTAAACTAGTCTAAAGCAGACTTCATAATGCAGCACAACATACGAGAACCAAGTGGTGAAGAATGACCATGTTTGGCCAGCCCCACATTCCAAGAATCGTTTACTCATCTATAGGTCCTTAATTTGATCTAACTGGCCATGAAACTACCAAGTTAAAGACTTAACTAAGACAAAGATCTAAATGGCCGCTTCACCTCTGCATCATTTGCTTACACTGGAGCAGTTCATAGACTAAAGTAGCTTATGTAGGACTGTTGCAACAACAAAGATATTCCACAAAATCAGAATGTAATAAACAAGGTCACAATAAAACAGCTCCATTTCTACGTTCAAACAAGCCTCAAGAAAAATTGGCTATTCTCATCCGAACCACCATATGTTCAAATATTCAAACATGTATGTTTCTAAGTATCAGTATCAATACACAAACATTTCTTTCAAGAGTGACCAAGATTACCGCCTAAGCGCCTGGGCTATCGCCTGGACTGCATTCATACAATTACTATGTCAGTTGTTTGGGGATCCCCAGCTTTACAGCGCAAGGGTTCAGAAACATGATTCATGATCAGCCACTCACTAAGGAAAGATCAAGAAAAAGTTTAGAAAGGCCAATTTTTGGGCAAATTAGCGCACGGAACTGCGGCTCGGTGCATGGACGTGTCGAATATTTAGAACCGTGAAAGGGCTTCTACTCGGCCGCTCCAAATCGCCGGCCAAAACCCATCTTTTTCAACTAATTCCGGCATCCAATATATCAAAGAAAGCCGAAAAAGATAAGATGTAAACCGTAGAATGCAAGACACCCGCGGCGGGTTATTGCTCGCTCATGCCAACTACTCACCAACCCGTTCCGCCTCGCCTCCGCCTCCGCCGCCGCCACAGCACGAAAGCCGCCCGGGCGACGGTTGGTTGATTACCGGGAACGGAGAACGCTAGGGCAACAACGGCATCAACGGGTGCGTTGGGGCGTCCACTAACCGTTTGTTACATGGGTTAACGGGTCCAGACCCGTTAACCCATCATTTAATAAAACCTCAACAGTTGGCTCGCCACAAATCACATGTACGTCCTTACTATTCTGTGTTCTTCATATTTGCCCCTTCAAATTAAAATAAAATACGAATAAATATTACACTTAGGAAACCCAAAAACATGCATCTCTCCCTTCCCATAGATTATTAGATATTACAGCATAGATATTAAAAAACTTTAATCGACAATACTACCTGATAAGACATGTTTTGCCCCTAGGACACGTCACAGCTGATGCCACACGTCACGTCAGAACTTATACCCCCAAGACACTGTTCGACATGCTTGGTTCCAGCAATCTCGGGACGACAACGCCTCGCACGTCGAACCAAAATCCGTATTGATGTCGTACTGTGTCCACCACGCTAATCCGCGTACGACCGACCCTCTCACGATAGTATAAAGACCTTTATCCCGACCTCCAAAAGGAGGAAAAAAAAAGGAGAGACTACTGATTTGCTCGTCGGAAGGGCCAAAGTCGGGGATCACCCGACGAAGGCCATTTTTACAGGAAGGCAGCAACCTCATGAGTCACAGACCGACGCCCCCGTGGTGAGTCATCGACCAACCCACCCCCCGACTCGAGGATCTAGTCGGCTTCGACAACCAGCTCAACCGACAGGAGGCTCCCGATATCGATCCATGAACCAAGCCGTACTGACTATCAACCACAACACATTCGTTCCCAACACTACCCTTTAAAATCATTAAAGTACATTTGGACTCAAAGAATATAACCCTATTGCTCAGTAAAATTAATTTCTCATAGATTCACACAAAGTAGGCTGATGAGTGGATAGATGTGAAGGTTGATATATTAAAATATGAGATAAATGGATAGAATAGCATGACCTGTTGAGGATCCTACTGAATCAAGGAAGAGGACATAATGGACCCAACTTGGAACCCTGCACCAGCTTTTAGATGATTGCAGGTCTAGAATTGCCTCCATAACGATCAAATCCACAGCTTACTCCCAGATCAAAATGTGTTACCGTGAAACCAAACAAATCTGTATCAAGCAGGAAGATGGAATACTCAAGAGAGGTTTACAGCTCTCTCAATTGTTGGCCAATATTGTACCTCGATAAAGCTATGACATAAATATTCAATCACAAGTACCTTCTGGAACATTTAAATTAGCTATCATCTATGTTCTTCATTGATAACTCAGTAGTTTGCAACTCGAGAAGAATTTAGTTGAGCTAAAAATCAAGTTCTCTCAAAGCAATTAGATGCCTCTCTCAAATGTAGAAGCGACATAAAGAATACTATAGATAGATAGATAGATAGATTGGTAGATATATTATGTCATAGAAAAATGGTGGCAGCAGGATGAAATTGTCAGACGGTTTAGATGACATGGTGAATGCAGGCAGCCAATGTTGCTATCTTGCCATATAGATCTGAAACATTTCCTTTTCTGGGTATTAGTGCAGCATTAAGGAAGGAGATGGTGCTAGTTATGCACCCACAACACCTGACATCCATGGCACGACTATGGGTGCATTGGGGTGTTTCTTCCTGTAAGATTTGGAATACTTATCTTTGAAGTTCAACCGAGGTTTTTCGGCCTGCATTCAAAGAGACCAAATAAGCAACTTGAGATTAGGAAACAGGAAGATTTGCATGTCGGTAAAGACATAAATCTTAGCAAAAAAAGGAACCAGTAACATGTCAAATTGATTAAGCATTTAGAACCTTCCACCAATATATAGTTTCTTCCTAGCTGCACCTGTAACAAATGGGCAACAACACCTAACTACAAGATTACAGTTGTTTCCATTGAAATGGTGGCAGAGAGTCCATTAGTGAAAGAAAAAAATAGAAGGTTTTCTGAAATTAAACAAGGGACATTTGATATAAGTACAAATTATTTGGCAAAGACAAGGAAAAGTCAGAGCCAAAATTTCAATCAAATTTAGCTAGCATGGTTATACAGCCACCAAAAACCATGGAAAATAATAGAAAACAAAGATGGCAGTAATTTCTACACGCTCTGCATAACAAGGGTTTTTACAACATAACGAGTGAGAATAGTCATTTTGAATATATACTGATCAAACATTCTTAAATATTAGGTCTATTCCATTTATGAATAGAAAAAAACTGTAATATCCTCAACTAGTCCAACATAGGATGTGAGCAGCAATTGGACAACATAGATGTATCCATTCCCAAAGAACAACTTATGAGTAGCACTTGAAAACAAAATTTACTTGGTTCAGGCTTTAATCTTAATAAATATGATATTAAAGGTATTAACCATCGATCTGGTGTCGACCACAATGGAATTACTGCCTGACCTCACAAATTGAAAGGGAACTATCGGGCAACGCAATTGCTGTGGGTTTGAAGGAGAGGAATGTGTTAAAAGCCAGTTACTTGTGCATGAGATATGGGATGCCATGTGGATGGTGTATAAACCATTAACCACCAGCAAAGGGAAATAATTTTGGAGACACCATATAGTTTTGAGCATAAACCTGTACAAATATCAGATCAACTCTATGGCCCTATATAGGATGATATGCGTCAACAAAGGGTTCACCTTGTATGTAGCAAGATGGGAAATTCGTCGAGATCACAAGAAAAATTAGTCAGTTTTGATTAGGATGTAAAACTTTGGAGTGGAGGAAATTGACATCCTAATAGTCACATTGGAACAAGTTTTGAATGGTTTGGTACAACAGACCCAACTGACTGATTAACCAATAAATTGGATATAAAAGTTTTGAATCATATGGCTAAGGACCATTTTATAAAAGTTATTAGGATAGTAGGAACTAAGATTGCAATGTAAATTCTGCTTTGCTCATCCTCATTAAGCAATTGACATATGCCATTTTATAAAGTAAGCCATAAAAATTTCAGTCACTAGTTTATCGTGTCAAATTTTGACAGGATTCTTGTGTTGGTTTTCTCTCATATTTCCTATTTTGTGATTCTGATTCCTTGTCCTAACAAGAAATGCGAAAAGGTGACACGAATCTGCATTTCACTAGAGGAAGAATCTTAAATTCAGCAGTAAATTAATATGGCTAATATAGAAGGTAATCATGCTAAAATAAATAAAACAGAACCTGCTTCAGCCAGCACTCTTGATGTTTGTGTTCATATATATCTGGTGAATAGCACCCAAACTCTGACGGGCAGTAAACCCATATATTGCACTTCTTTTCCCCTGGCTTTGGATGTTTGGCCTGATCTAAGCAAGCCTGACAACAATCAGCAGCGCTGTCTTTATGGTGGGTAAGCCCCCATCTAACAGCAGCTCCATCATAATCAGTATGAAGCTCAGCATGGCATTCAGGAGGCAGTGGTCGACCAGGAATTATCTCCTCTGCAGAAGGGTGCATTAAGAGGCTTTTAAAAATAAAACAAAGCAGCGGTAAATTGAAAGCAGCAGAAAACAAATATGAGCTCATCAAATTTGTAATATTTATTTACAGAGCAAAAGTAGATGCCTGACAGAGTTGAATCATTGAAGATAATATGGAAAGATAATAAGACTATAGACTCCAGCTGGCCAATATAGTTACCAAGATCCTGCTCATCTTTAGGTTTATCATTGTGTTCAGTGTGAATAACATCAGCTGGAATCCAGAGCCCAATTCCTTCCAAGAGCATAAGCCAATTAGACTCCAACACTCTTTTCAACATCTCTGCAAAACCATGGTCACATTTTGAAAAAAATATAGAACAGTATATTAAAATTCATAAGCATCCAACAGAGGCAACATACTTGCTTCCTGGTAAGAGATGCTTGAATCTATATTTGATTTTGAAGTTGTCACCCTTCTAACTTCTTCTAGTTTCTCAATTCGCCATAAGTCCACTGTTTCTGCTCAGAATAGGTGACATATTAAATTACAAATGCATCACAGTTGCAACAAGTAGACAAGCAGATGTAGCACATCAAAATTTCATATTCCTACGTTGTTCAGGCTACAGCAATGTCAACAGTTATCCATTCTTGTCTCATATTCCTACTATAATTCTAATACAACTCTAGAAGAAATGTAATCAATATGCAATATCTTTGCATGCAAAATCAGCCAGCCGGCTAACACATACAATTGACTCCATGATATAATTAAACGTCAAAATACTCAAACATACAACTGGTTAACTCGAAATCTTCTATTGATAGAAAGGATATGGTTTAAGTAATGTGGATACCAAGGAAAAACATTATGTGGATTAAGTTTTAAGTTCCTTGAGAAGCTTGATGTTATGTATTTATATTAGGTTGACAGTAATAACGTGCTTGTTATACTCGGCAAAAGCATAACACTCTAATCTAGCAAATATCTGTTAAGCAGTGGTAGAAGTTAGAATAAAATTGATAGCTTGAGGTGATTCAGATACCTAGTCATTTTCACAAGACCACTATCATCCATCATTGTGATAACTGTATCCAAACCTTGGTTTTTGTGAATGCAGTACAAGTAAGAAGTCAAGCAGGATTATCGAGGCTATATCGAGTTATGTAATAATCATAGGAAGAATGTGATGGAGGAACCAATTTGGCCAATACTTCCAAGGGTGAGTACAGAGTCTCAAGCTTCACTTATCTGGCATATCACTTGGAATAAGCAAGGAGATAGCTACATTTATATGCAGTACAGCTTGGTACATTTATATTCAATAAGGCCTCCCCAAACGGTCTAGTGGACTGATATTATAAGCCAACAAATAATATAAGGCTTACATGCTCTATCTTCCATTTAATTTTGATCCCAAAGGGAGGACTATAGATGGACTACCTACAAGCAATAAACTTCAAGATTTTGGGCATATCAAATAGGCTTAAAATTAGTATGGTGATTGTGACGACAAACTAATATATGGTCACAGATTGTCTTGAGCATATTCTGGAGTTGCTACATTACATTAATGTTGTT